ATAACAGTATAAATAACAGTATTGATGTATAAAGAATAAATAAGAAAATATATAATAAAATAAACAAATATATACAATTAACAAATATATGTTAAATAACAATTAACAAATATATAAACGTATTTGCACAAGTTTTACAATAACANTTTTTAATTTCTTAACTAGTTGAACACATTTCTAAGTTAATCGATTATTGAGACGCATCTCGCTGTGTCGCTTTTGTTCTTAAACAAATTCTATTAATTAAGAAAACTGATGCATTTATATATGCAGTCTCATTTAATAACACGTGCAGCGATCATACTATACTCTGTATGTCAATAATCAACTTGTTTTTGACTATCACACACATAGAAATATGTAGATTCCTTTTAATTTCTTTTTTTTTTTTTTAATTTGATTAACAACTATCTGACGTAAAGAGTGACAGTGATCGCTTCTACGTTGTCTTCGATAGAAACCAGTCTAATATTTTCTTTTTTATAACGGATTCAAAAACGATTTGTCGTATAATTTATAGTGTGTGTGTGTGTGTGTGTGTGTGTGTGTATATATATATGCAATCAAAAATGATGATTAATTTTTCTATTTAACCCTTTTTTTATGATGTGTATGATCGCAAATGTGATATTTTTTTACGAAGATATCTGCCGCGATTGTACATTTTGCCGTAGAGTGAGCATTACATATATGTAGCTCAAAAAATAATTTTCTACATTTAAACAGTATATGTGTATATTGTTATGTGTATTATGTGTATTATGAAGTATTACGTGAGCGCCGATATATATTCGATGTTAGGAGAATGAAGTGGTTATAATAGTAAATACTCGTTAAATACTACAGTTTTTAAGTGTAACTAAAAACAAAATTTACAAAAATATATATCATAATAATATTTGTATGCAATATGTTAATTCAGTGCCCTTGTCATTGAGGCGATATTTTTCTCGTAATGTAATACGGGCCTGCGTTTGTTTGGGTTTGTTCGCGTTTCTTATGAGTGGCACGTTCGCGATATATATAGGTACATTATGATTACGCGGAAAAGTGTTTCGCTGCTTCTGTTTTCGAGGAAACGTCGTCTTAGTCGCTACTCGCCACGTTATTTTAAACGCTTTTGCACGGATTTTTCGCTTCTTTACGGTACTTCTAGTCTTGCTAAGTTCAATTTTTCTGATTTCTGTAAATTTTTTTCTCATTTTATTTATCTTTTTTCTTCATTTCCGATTTGTCGCTTTTTTACGGTACTTCTAGTCTTGCTAATTTCAATTTTTCTGATTTCTGTAAATTTTTTTCTCATTTTATTTATCTTTTTTCTTCATTTCCGCTTTTCTTTATAACAGTTTTTTTCTCTCTTTATTTTTATCCCTGTCATTATTTTTCCTCTTTCTTTTTCTACATATACATACATATATATACACGTATATATATACATATATTACATATATAGCATATGTATACATACGTATACATATATGTATATATGTATATATAAGTATACATTTGTTACGTCTATTTTTTGCATTTTATCGTTTCTATTTAATTTATCTACGCTATGGAACGATCAAAAACTGTGTCATCCAAGCGAAAGTTTGTGGAAGCTTGGCTCAGGGATGACAGATATAAAGCTTGGATACGCCAAGTACCTGCTGACGACACAG